AAACAGAGCAGTGGTACCAACACAGCAGCAACAAGAAACAGACCAGGGGAAAAACAGCAAACACAAAGCCAAACACCACCAGAAAAAACAGGAAACCAACTCAACAAACTTGGGAATCACCCAACACAGCTCAACAACACATGGGAATCACCCAAAATAGCTGAAAAAACAGATGGGAATCACCCTATTCGCAGACAGAAACCAGAGGAAAAGGAAGGCAGAAACTGGAGCTGGAATTTCACTGTGAACAGTGCTGATTGTACACAATCTCAAGAACAGAAGCTTGCTTTCATTTTTTTAATTCCAAAACCCCAAATTCACAGATTAAAAAAACCAAAAGAAGAGAAAAAAACTTACTTCTTTGAGAGGAGGAGGCGTCGCTGGAGGTATGAGGAGGAGGAAGACGGACGGCGGACGACGGAGGGAGAGAGAAGTCGCCGGCGGAGGGAGAGAGAAGTCGGCAGGGGTAGGTTTTGAGATCGGGGCGGATGAGAAGTCGGATAGGTTTAGATCGAGAAGGGAGAGATCGGAAGGATGAGAAGACGCGAGAAGCTAAGGTTTACGTCTGCTTGAGGAAGATGTTTGGAAGAAGTTTTTAAGTGATTTGTCTTCTAAAAAACAAACAGTCTGCGCGTCCCTAATGTCTGCCCGCGTCTGCACGGCGCAGACATAAGTGGTTAGAAGATCTTCACACCAAAAAACAAACACCCCCTTAGTATCCCATTAATGCTTTATTAATACAAAAAAAGAAGAATTAAGCTAGTTTTGGATGCCTTATCTTATATTCTTATCAATATTCTTTTTCTAAAGGTGGGACAAGTTTTATGCTTTGTTTGGAAGGAGAGAAAATGGAGAGAAAGAAAATGGAGGAAGAGAAAACACAAATCCCAATACAAATTCTCTTGTTTGGAAAGAAAAGAAAATGGGAGGAGGAAAGAAATTGAGGGTGACTTTTCCCTTCAAATTCTTTCTTCTCATTTTCTTTCCTCTTATTTTCTTCTCTCATCCAAACATATGCGTAGTATCCGTCTAAAATACATATAAATAATATCGTCAAAAACTTTATATTCGAGACTGATTCTTCCTAGCTAATAGAATCATAAGTTCGAATTTTGAGTGCTGAGTATTGATTCTTTATTTTTTACTCCGTAATAAGTAGCAAAAAAATTTAAAAAAAAATACTACATTATAATATAATTATTAATAAATAAAAAAAGATATACCGTTAGAAATTCTTATGCCAAATATTAAACTAAAAAAGTTTTAAAAAATAAAAATAAATTTAAATACGGAGTATTTATCTTTATTAGATAAAAGTTTATAAATTACGGAGTACATCATAGAGTTCATATGCATCGTTAGATGCATATAAGATTTTGACTTCTTTTTCGTTCTTGATGGATATTTTATTTTACTCTCTTTCATTCTCTTGGTTAATTAAATAAAACTATTCTTTATAGAACAACTATTATAAATGAGCCTTGGAGTGGCTCTAAAGGGTGTGTAATTTTCTCCTTGTTTTCTAATTTTAAGAGAGTGCCCCAGCGAAAAATATTGTGTGCCCCGGTAAAAAATTTTGTGTAAAAGAAAAAATTAATTATTCAAATAGAACATAAAGATAAAGTATTTGAAATATCATATTTATATTTAGTAATAATTAAAATTGGTATAAGAATAATTATTAAAATTTACATATTAAAAACTATATCGAAAATTCTATAAAACAAGAGATAACATAAATATTTTTTATTGAGAAGTAAATTTCAAAGAAAAAATGTTCTCAATTTGGTGTGGGAAATATAATGCTGCATGCCAGTATACAGAATATCCTACAACAAAACCAATAAATAGATTATTGGTTTGCCATCATTATATTATTAAGTTTCAATTTGGACCTCTTATTATTAATGTTACCTTTGCCATTATGGCTTTAATGCGTGACAGGACATAGTAGGGAGTAACATTTAATTTCCATGATATAATTACTTTATTCGTATTGTTGGAGAAAAGCAAATGGGCAAAATATATTCCTATTCTTCATGTCTCTATATATATATATATATATATATATATATTCCCTATAGTTAAGTAGAAACTTCCGTTAAGTGAAATTAGCGTTATCTACTAATTAAAGTTCATAGTTAGCATTTTAATTGACAAAAGATTAAAGACACCATGTATTAATTTATGTGTCTATTAATGTGTTTACTTAGAATTTTAATAAATAAATTTCATATAAAAGATTAATTTAATTCACATTTTCTAGTTAGAGAAATTAATTTGATCTAAGTAAATTTGAAAGTATGGAAATGATTCGTGAATGCACTTACATGGACCAAACTAATTTTAACTCAATGTAAAATTATAAGAAAATTGAGGCTTTAATTATCTAATCATTGTGATTGACAATGGAGGCTTGAATTAATAAAATTATTATAGAAGATGGAAATTTCAGGGAATCCAATCTTATTTTTTCCTTTGGATAATTAGATTGGAATATATGTATGAGATTTCGTGGATAGACTTTTCCATCGAAATTCAAATTTTTATATGAAAAAATATAGAAACTTTGTTCCTCGTCCATGGATTTTTTTGGGCTTATTAAATTGTTAGTGAAAACAATATCTTACTTTGATGATGATATTTAATTTCAAAAGTTAAAAGTCAAAGTATGCAAAAATTTAGCATGTACTAATGTACTATCTCTCTTTTTAAATTCATCACTAGCTATATATTAGAAAATGAATATTACTCCCTAATATGAAGTGTGTTTGGAGCATTGGCAATGGCTAGGCAAATGTCGACCACGCCATGCCACATCTGCTCTTTCTTTATTTTGTCATGCTTGGCTTGTGCGTTTCTCCACGCAATGCATGTCTTGTGCAAGGCATTCTTCTATTCTTATTTTTTCTTAATTTTTTATTTTCTTAATTTGTAGAAAAAAGGTTTTTTTAAAAAAGGAGTGCATATATTTTTATGAAAAGAGATAAGTAAAAAGATTTTTATAATTAAAATATGTCACAAAAGTGTAAAAATGACAAAAACAATTACTTGTCATTGCATGACATGCCACTCCACTTACTCGCCACAGCTGACTGGACTCTTTTTGATTGGTTGAAATGTTTCACGTCATCGTGTGACATTCCATTTTTTGAATTACCATTGCCAATGCTCTTAATTATATGGTGTGTTTTAAAGTCACAATGATTAAATAAAAGTGAATGGAATGAGTAATGTTTTTGGGGAGGACGATGACAATAATTTATGAAACATACTAGTGTGTTTTATAGTGAGCATTTTGTTGGCACTGCACGTGCCCTTACCTTAGCCCCGCATTAATACGGAGTATTATATTATCGACTCTGGCTAAGCCTTTACAAGCAAATACTCGTACAAATTATGGAAAGACAAATAGAAATTGTGTAATTTGTTACAAGTTGGGCCTATATATCATTATGTGGGCTTGTAGCAAGTTCAACTCTGAACGGAGGAACACAAGTTTTATGGTGTTCCGAGTCGCATGCAATAGCTCCCCGTCCTCACTCTCTGCCGGCGGATAAGGATAGAAAGCTTCCCATTCTTCAAGCTCTCTCGCCGGGAAAACGCCATGTCTATCGCTTCTCTCCGCCTGGCGCCGCCGCTCTCCGCCACCACCAAATCCCCCGCGGAACTCCACTCCTCCTTCCTCATCCGCCGCCCTCTCATTGTTCCCAAACCCCTCAAATCACAGTCACTCCGCCTATTACACTCTCCAATCAAGTCCTCCATGGAGGCCGGCGTGGGCGTAATGGGGACGAAACTCGGAATGATGAGTTTCTTCGAGCCGTCCGGCACGGTCGTTCCCGTCACCGTCATCGGATTCCGCGAGGGGAACATCGTTACTCAGGTTAAGACCGATTCCACCGACGGATACAATTCCGTTCAAGTAGGTTACCGCCGCGTCCGGGACCGGAAGCTCACCAAGCCTGAAATGGGACACCTTCAGAAATCCGGCATAATTCCTTTGCGCCATTTGCAGGAGTTCCGGCTCCCGTCCGTAGCGGGCTTCGAGCCGAACCAGAAGCTGGTGTTCAGTGAGATCTTCAAGGAAGGTGACATAGTTGATGTTTCTGGCACCACTATTGGGAAAGGGTTTCAAGGTATTTCTGCGTACCAATATCTGCATATACTGATTGATTGCATTGTCATTGTAGATATTTATTTAGGGTTTCATCATGATCTTCATCAATTTTGGCTTTGCTTTCTTATCATAGATCATTAGTGACTGAATTGTTTGAAATGAGAAGCATTTGGTAAAATCAATTAGAGCCAAATTGTTGGGGATGTAATGTTTGTCATTGCTTGTCCTGAAAAACTCCTCCCCGAATGCCATTTTCGAAAAGTTCTAATTTTGAACTTCTGTTTGAGAAGTAAATTGTAGTGGAAATAAGCTGGATTCAGTTTTGTTGCCATTGCAAACACTCCAGCCAACTGGTTACAAACCCAGCATAAACCTTGTGTAAAAAGCAGTGGCAAACACCTCCCAGTGCAACATCAAACCAGCATAATCCGAACTCCGGTAGGATCTATGGTGGTCAAGATGTGCACAGTCTTACCCGGCAAAAATAGAGAGGCTATGTCCGTTATACCCCAGATGCATTTTCTTCTTAGAGAGGGAGAAACGAAAGAAATTTAATGCGCCTTTTTTGTTTAGTCAATTATGTTCGCGAAACGAAAACATTGTCAATGCTTACTCGTTTAGCACCATTAGCAATGGACACGGCACCCCCCCCCC